GCGTAAACCTTTTCTCCTGAAGTTTGTGATATTCTGATCGCCTGTAATTCCAATGCAACTGCAGTTTAGACTTTTAAATTCTGATGTACTTTCATGTGCACGTCTTGGAACTGGTTGTTCACCTGGTATTAAACATCTCTTCAGTATGCTGGTTGGAAAAAATGCTTTACAGTGCAAATCTCTTGCTACCAATAAATCAGTAGTGAGCAGGACGAGCGTTACTCGTAGTGGTATTTCAGTGCTTGCATTATGAGCTGATGTCTGTTCACTTTGCCAACCCAAATTCCAGTCCAGGTCTTCACGTCATGAAAATCAGATTATTGAAATCCAGGCTATGCTGATCTGGAACAGTCTGTCAAGATGTACTCAAGGATCTAATCTTAACTCCGAATTTAGTTTAAAATAGTAGTATTGTTCCTTTCCCGTAATGCCTCATTTTCCTCCTGAATTAATAGTTGAGCTAAACAGATTCTTACCTAGGTAACTCTGAGAAAAGTAGTATTTTGAGTGGCTGTACTGCCCAGGTGATTAGACAGCTCTGCAAAGTCAAGCAATTGAATTTTTTTTCTAAACTACTGCCTACCTTTTTTTTTTTTTATTATTATTATTTTTTTAGATCTGTGATACAATGTCAACTGGCAGAGTACGAACGAAAAAAAAGGCATGTTCTTCAGACCAGTCTCCAGACAACCTTCCTCTGAGGAGTTCTGGAAGACAGGTATTTATAATCATTTAAAACCACATGGGTTTGTACTCTGGTATGTTGTATTTTCTCTTGACATTTATAAAGAAAGTGGGTTACATTGTGAATAAGTTAGGACTTGGAGTACTTACCCAGAGAAAGGGAAAATTAGTTACTTCTGTGAGTAAGCAGGCAGGTGTCTCATTAGTGAACAATACTCAGAAAAGATAAGTGCTCAATATAACCTGTAAATATTTGATGTGTTAAAAATACAACCACAGATTTCTGTACAGCCAGACACAGCTGTGTGCCCATCCAGACAGAGGCCTGAAACAACACAATACACAGTACCTTTGAGGCCCAGGAGAGACATTTGGTATCTGGGGTCTAAAAAAAGCCCCAAGCCTACTCTAATAATTTATTTGAGGTGTAGATAAGATTGCCACCAATTAATATCATTAAGTATGTGAAGAAGAGATTTTTCTTTTTCTGAAGGAGAAATACAGTGAACGTATGAGGCTTGATTCATTAGCGTGTGACGGAGCTTAAAATATGATTTAAACTGGAAGCTTTGCTTATAATGTCTTTGATGGCATCAGTTAGACATTTTTAGCTTTAAATGATATTTCCAGCCTTCCTGGTTTGTTTATTTTTTTGGGGGGGGAGGGGTGGTTTGTTTTTTTGTTTTTTGTTTTTGTTTTTTTTTTGTTGGGGTTTTTTTTAGAAGAACTGACCTACTTTGACAGCTGTTTCATGCTGCAGCTATCTCATACTAGACACCAAAATTTTCATTAGTACCATTTTAACCATGTGTCTGAATGCCATTTTGTAGAAGATGGATTTGTGTCATTTCTGGTCAGATTTCAGCTATTCTTTGTTAGGTGAAGAAGAAAGTGGCTGAAGCAGCAGATGATGATGATGAAGCATCAGAGAAGAAATACAGAAAATGTGAAAAAGCTGGATGCACTGCAACATGTCCCGTTTGCTTTGCCAGTGCAGCTGAAAGGTTTGGTTCTTTTTATTTGCATTTTCTGTGGACTTTTCTAAACTGGCAGCTGTAGGATCCTAACTATACTCTGAAAAATCCCCTTGTTTCTAAATGTAGAGGGAGAATCAAAAGGTAATAATGAGTCTTAAGATGCCAGGCAAGTGTCAAAAGCTATTCCTGTTATGGATAACTTTCTACCGTGCAAGCTGCTAATTCAGATATAGACTATCTTTAGAATACCCTTATTTATGTTATTAATAGTGTCGTCTGGAACATGCCTTGCTTTTGTGAAACTGAGTGCCTATGAGTGTAATCTGAGGAAGCTAAACTTGATTTCAAGAAGCAAAATGAAACTCATCTACTGCAGAAAGTCTTTATTGCTCTTTCATTGAAGTGCTTTGCAGTCTGAAGTGAGATTCTGACCTTGAAATTTTAGGTCTTGGGAGACAGTCGTACTTATTTGAACTCTTTGTTTTCAAGTTGTTCGTGGCTTTCTGTGCACTGACCCAAGTCCTTCTGCATTCTGACTCTGGAGGTACTGAGCACCTGATCCTGGCAAGGTGTATCTATAATAAGCAACACATTAGACCTCATCATGCAGTAGGCAGACTGTAATTATGTAGCATTCCTCCCTCCCTGGTTCATTGAGACAAACTCTCCTTGTTTTATTTATTTTCCAATGACACAAAATAGTTTAGTGCTTCATTTAGTTATCTATAGGTGGAGTGTTCTTTGGTGGCTTGAGGTCAGTGTGTTCTAGATGTTGTCATAGGAAAGGCGAGTGTTTCAGCAGCTGCATAAGAGACTTGTAGGGGAAATGAGCACCTAAGAGGTCAGCACTGGTGATATTATGGTTTTTATTTAGGAAACAATAGATACTGCTTAGTCATCTTTTTGAATTGTTATTTTAATTTTTTATTTATTTCCACCCCACCTCCCAAGTACATACTTTCAACATTATTTACTTGCAATGAGATCATTTCATGGCTAGCTATTTCAGTTAGTAGGTTAGGTCACTGCTTTTGACCTCCTGCATTTATCTTGCACCATTTCATTGAGTTTAATGAGACTTTTCTAAGTGAAGAGCGATTGCTTTGTCTGATGAATATAATCTTTGCTAATAGATACTTCTTTCTGAACATAATAAAGAACAAATGCCCAGAATGTGTAACTGCTTCCTCAGGGTTTTCTCTCATTGGGTTAAAATCGCAGCCAACTCAGTCGCGTGAAAAAAATCGGCAACATCTGTTTTGTGGTCAGATTTGTCTTTATAATTTTATCAGTTCTTCTGGGGATGAGATGTTGTAATGATTTATGAATCAATTGACACATACAAGAAAAATACTAATTTAAATGATCCCTCCCACCCCTGCACTAAAATCAGAACAAAATGGAACAAAGTAAAGGAGCTGTGAAGTTCCTATGGAGAGGGACTTTGCCTTCTTCTACATCTGCAAAACGTTTAGTGTGTCACAGCACAGATTGTAAGAGCAAATGTATTTCATGTTCAGGAAACGTCTGCTTAAAGGGTATTAAAGCCAGGCTCAGCTGACCATTGTTAGCAGGAGGTTGCTGGAAGCCAGACCAACTATAAAACTGCACATTGTGTACGTTCTGCCTCCTTTGCATCTGGTGTTGCTTAGTTTCTAAACTGGAAATGTTTTGAGACAATTGAAATGATCTTATTGTTACTTGTATGACTGCAGTGCCTTGTGCAAGTCGGCCTTCTTGTAAAGCCCTGGCTTGTCCTGAACGTTTTGTTCACGTTCTAGGATGTGCTACTGTCAGTAGAAAGCTTTTTTCTAAATGTATTTTTAAACTATTTCTATGTCTCCTGCATTACAGATGTGCTAAAAATGGGTATACATCTAGATGGTATCATCTTTCCTGTGGGGAACACTTCTGCAATGAATGTTTTGACCACTATTACCGAAGGTAGATTTGCAAATTAAGGTTGTGCCTTTTCAATGCTTATTAAAATCTGTCAGGCATTAACAACTGTTGAAACATCATGTACATAAAGATAACACAAAGACTCGTCCTCTGTGATTGCTTTATTCAAAGTGAGGCTTAGATATTGGTGCTAAAACTGCAGGTGTTGTAATCAACTTAAACAGCAGCATGACCAAAAATGGTTACTTTAGGCAGGCTGGTTTGTGTGTGCAGTTTTATCTTTTTTAAAACAACATCAGAGAATTTTAACTAAATGCAATTAATCTAAATAAATCTATTTTCCTTTTATAAAGCAAATTTACTTTACAAGGGGAGTTTGGGAGACCTCACCTCTCTTGTGACATCAAATCAGTGAGCAGATTTAACTCTTGGAGTTCAGTGACTGTGGACTGGTCAGGCTCACAGAGTGTTTTCAGCTCCAAGCCCCTTCCCATTTGAGTGGGAGCTGAGTCCAGCTCTACCAAGATTTTTGCAGCATTTGTGCTCAGCAGTACCTGTGACTCAGTCCAGATGTTAGATACCAGGAAGTGTGCTCATGATCAAGAGGACGTAGTGGTCAGGATGCAATTGATTGCTATTTTAAGAACCATGACTTTCTCATTTTTTAATAGGAAAAAAATAGGACTCTCTACAGCCTTATATCTTTTATCCTTTTATAAAATGTTTAATTTTAGAATAACTGCTGTTGCTTGAAATGAACTAGATATTCAATTTTATGACTGCTTGCTGTGTTCTTTTCATTTTCTTCTTAGCCATAAAGATGGTTATGAGAAATACACTGCCTGGAAAAGGATTTGGACAAGTAATGGTAAAAGTGAGCCCAGTCCAAAAGCCTTCATGGCTGATCAACAGCTCCCTTACTGGGTAAGATGGAGAGTGATTTATTCAATAGGGTATATTTTAATGTGATGTTCTGATGTGAGTTTCTGATATTTTATGTTCAAGCAGTGGATCAGCTGAGTTTTTGTAGGATTTTCTGGCATTAGAGGACTGTGGAAAAGCTCAAGATAATAGTTCTGATCAGCTCCTCTGTTGTTGGAGACCTTCTCCACAACCCACAAAGAACAACCTTCTGTTGCTTTTTCAGTGAAGGAACAGCTAAGATGTGTGATGTTCAAGTAGAATAAGACTTGGCGGGGAAAAGGGAACGTGCCACCTATAGGAAAGTACAAGTGTGAAAGACTTCCAAAACAGATTTTCTATTTCCCTAGTAAAGACAGCAGAAGAGAAACTGGACTGGAAGGAAGTTTGGTGGTGGTGCTGGTTTTTTGTTGTTGTTGTTTTTGAAGTGGTGAACAACTTGTTTTTGCAGTAGTGCTTGCAGAACCCACTGAAGACCATAGTAATTGGGTGTTGAATTAATTTTGGAGTTATGTTCTGTGGAGAAATTCCGTCTTATGGGAGATGGGCACAAGGTTTCTGTACACCAAATGTCTTTCTTACAACCTTGAGGATTACAGGAGAATGAATTCAACAATTAAATTTGACAGCTTCCTCACATCTCCCTTCTTTCTAATTGGTTAGTTGTGCTTCATTAATCTTATCTGTAATCAGACAGCAACAAGTCAAAACATGTTTGTTTTTTGACTTGTAGGTGCAGTGCACAAAGCCAGACTGTGGTAAATGGCGGCAGCTGACAAAGGAAATCCAGCTGACACCTCAAATAGCAAAAACCTACAGATGTGGTATGAAACTGAACAATTCCACCAAGGTAACACAGAAGATTTTTGCTCATATTGAAACTATCAACAAGTTGATTTTTCTTGCTTGCAGACGTTAATTTCTTCTTGTTTGCTCCTTAATGTTCCTAATGCCAAACCAATTTTCTGACAGCCTGGAGAGCTGCACGGTGACAGGTCTACATGCTTCGTGGACTTTTTGTTTCCTGAGTGGAAATATCAAGAAAGAAGTATCTGGAATACTCTTTCTCTGCACAGTCAATTGTAAAATCCTTCATTCTGAAGCTGTGGAAGGATTGTCAGCATGTACAAAAGAGACATACACCAAAATGTTTACTTTGCTTTTGTTTAGACATCCTTCATTATTGAATAAAGCATTTGAAAAGCTCAGTGGGCTTTTAGTAATTTCTAGTGAGTTTGTCTTGGGGATTTACACATGAAAACTTCCAGCTTTGGTGTGAAGATAACTCCTGAAATTTGAAAGAATCCTTATAGTGCCATAGAATCTATATAGTTAAAAACATAACATGAAATTACTGACCATATGTAAATCAGAAGGGTCAACATTTAATCTTGAAACTTTGTGATAAAGATCCTCTTAAAATAAATGAGAAACATTTTATAGTCTAGACTGGAAGAGACTGTGGGAAATGTTGAATCTTTCCAGAATTTTTCTATAAAATTCTTTTTTTTTTTTCCCCCCATTTATTTGTTTCAGTGTTCCACTAAATTTCATGCAATCAAATATATATTTTAATGTCTGATCAGTAGAAACTATTTAATTGAACAAATGAGAAGCATTTTCTGGGGCGTTTTGGCTTTATGGTGTGTTGTGTTTTTAACTATGCATTTTTCTATTATTTATTCTTACTAATATAATCATCTCTGCTGCAGAAGGCTAACGCTAGTACATTTTTTGTTTGGTTTTTAAGTTTAAGGAACTATGCCATGGCCAAATTACTTAGTTTCATATTTACTTTTTGTTGTAATAGCTCTGATACCATTTGCTTTTCTTTCAGACTGAGGGCTCAGACCAGTGTTCCATGCCTGAGGACTTGGTGAGTAGTGGCTGTTCCTCCTCATTTGTCCTAAAATATGAAAGCAGTCTTGAAGCATGGCATATTTCTTTCCTTTTCTTGGTCTTCTGGCCAATTATGGCAGCAATTTATGCATTTTGCTCAGGAAACTGTCAGACACTATTTGCAACAGAGCCTAGGGCCTTCTACTTTCTCATCTCTTCCCTCTTTTCCCTTAGCATCCCAATTTAGCTTTCAGGTGGTTCGTGGTGTCTTTGAGCTCTGGCCTGTGATTTCAGGATTACTCCTAATTCTCATTTTTGATCAGGCAAAACAGTATTCAGTTTCCAGCTTTCAAATGAAATTCCCCATCCTGAAATTTCCCTGTCTTTCAGGTGGTTTCTATCTTTAGTCAAGCTAGTCTCCTCTTTTTGAAGGCTGTAAGAGAACATCAGAACATCAGTGTTTTCTCTCTCCTGTCCCTCATACAAAACTAGACTTGATGTAGGTTGGTGTTTCACTGGGTTTATGGTCACGTAACTCTGTGTTTCAGATTTAGTATGATCTGATGTTCAACAACCCAATGTTGGCAAGTGTACCTGAGATACCTCTATCCCAGGAAACACCTTCAAGCTTATTGTTGACTCTCGTAGAAGCTTTGTGGTTTTGTTTCCTTAATGCATTTTTGATTTGTAAATTAAGGCTGAATCATTAGTGTTGGTGAGGGTTTTAGAAGGTCTTTGAAGGGGACAGCAGAATCTAAATTAAATTGATCAGTTAGTCAGCCTAGACTTTCTTAAGTTCAGATTTCTGGATGCATAAACAACTGTAAATGTTTTATAAAGGGCCCGATAAGGCACAGATGTGTTGCCATGGCCATGTCTCATCTGTTTGCTTTCCACGTGGGTGGAGTTTGTGAAGTTTCAGCTCCGTTTCTGAGGAACAGGTTAATGCTACAGGTTTTCTGTGTCAGGCTGAGGAAGGGGAAAGAGGGAGAGAAAAATGTCTTTATGACTTGCAATTCTGAGATTGGTACTGCTAGTGCTTTTTGGTCTCAGTTTTGGAGGGAGGGGGGACTTGATTCATTTTCCAACGTTTTTCAAAGTACTGACGTGTTCTCTTCTCCCCTCTTTCCTTCACTTCTCCGCTTGGCCAGAGAGTGGCTGAAGTTTCAGACCATTGGTGGTACTCCATGCTCATACTCCCTCCTTTGCTGAAAGACAGTGTGGCAGCTCCCTTTCTAGCTGCATATTATCCCGACTGCGTGGGCATGAGTCCATCCTGTACCAGCACTAATCGGTTACCTGGTGAATCCAACCTTGTGAAGTTAGAGCACTTAAAGAACGTGCCTAATTTGACTGGTAAGGGCCATCTGCAGGGCTCTGTTGCTTAAATAGGTGTAATAAATTTTTTCCTATAACTCAGTTTATAAGGCACATAATGTTCCCGATTCAGAAATACCGGTTCTGTTCTCAGCACTAATACACACTCTTGGTGACTGCCTCTCTACTTCTTGGATGCAATTTACTTATTTGTAAGCTAAAGGTAATACATTTTGGATGGCATTTCCTTAGGGAGCAAGCACAGGCTGCACAGGCTTTTTGTTTACCAGCTGTCATTTGTTTATAGAAATGGGAAATTAACATGTGGGTACTTCAAGATTGTTTGAGTTCTTAAAGAAATGAAGATTTATCAAAACAAAACACGATTCTGCTAGTTTAATGTGGATCTTTGGGGCTTTGGAGAAAAGGATTTGATTTCTTAAGGCACTCAGATTCTATTTAGGTTAATTTTTTTCACTAATGTCAGCTCTGAGACTGACAGGCTGGGAGTACGGACCTGCAGAATAGGTCAGGTATGGAGGAAGGTACTTCAGGATTCCCATAATCATCTCAGAGAGAGTGCTTTGAGGAAAGTTCAGCTTCTGTGTCATCTTAGCAGACTTTGCTCTCCTTAGGTGCTGAAAATAAATCTGCTTATCTATTCAACAGATGTTTATCTGCTTAACAAACAGAAAACTTCATTACATAGAGCTACCAATACTGCACGTGGATGGGTACTTTTAGTTACGACCCACTCCGGGCAGTATTGGGAGTTGAAGATGAAAGGAGTTCAGGGGACTGCGTGGGTCTGTACAGTGATGCTAGACCTTAGACTTGAGTCTAGATTCTGTTCCTTGTTGGATTCATCATGGCATTCAAGAGCACCTACTGTTTCTCTGACAAAATTAAGCTCTGATAGGTCCAAGACATACCCATCAGGTAGCAGGACAATAATTAATCGTGCAGAGCCTAAAGGGTAGGAGAGGGGAGAGCAATATAAATGAAATTGTTCTGAAGGTGGCTAGAGGCTGGAAAACTTTGTTACTTGTTTATCTGACTGAGGTCAGTGGATTGTCTTAGAGGGAAGAGGATGTGATGAAGATATGATGGAATTTGACTAGTTCTTGGTGTTTCTTTATTCAGTTGCAGGCATGAACAAGTATTTCCAGCCTTTTTACCAGCCCAATGAATGTGGGAAAGCACTTTGTGTGAGGCCAGATGTCATGGAACTGGATGAGCTCTATGAGTTCCCAGAATATTCACGAGACCCTACCATGTACTTGGCTTTGAGAAACCTGATTTTGGCTCTGTGGTACACAAACTGCAAGGTAAGAGTTGCTAATAGGTAATTTGTTTACAAATAATAGCTACTTTTTTGTCATGTGGACTCTCTTCTTAAGGACTGGATTCTCTTCTTAGACATCTCCTTATGCACCAGAAAAATTGCTTCTGTCCTTTGGAAAATCCATTCTAAGATTGTCTGGGTTTGTTTTTTCTGTTTGGTTTTTGTGGGGTTTTTGAGTTTTTAATGCCTAGGAGCTTCTTTTGCAGTAAATTATAAAAGTTTTAAAAGTATTAAACCTCTGCTGAGTCTTTCCAGCTATTAACTTTTACAGGGACACTTGAACATTTCTAAACAATGTTTGTGGGTGCTTTATGAATTATTTTTTTTCATGTAACTGTTGGACAGGGAAGTGATTGTCTTTTTACTTATGCTCACTCTGGCACTGCCTTCAGTGGAGGTGCTGGAATTTCACATCCTGAAGCTTCCAGATACTGATGTCTGTATTTATGTGAAGGTTTTTGATATTAATCTATTTTGTTTTATTTGGAATGCCATTTTGGAATGGATTTTACTGGAATGTCATTGTGAGTGTGGCCACCAGGTAGATTCATGTTGGGATCAGATGTGCATTTCAATACCATTCCTGTACTAATGGGAGCACGCTCTGGAGTTTGCAAGAGTATCTTGTAGACTCATTTGCTTTTATTCCATGTTAACCTATCTTAGTAAATTGTTTAAAGATAAGTAAATTTACCTTACTGTGTAAAGCTGGCTAGCAAGAAACTTCCACAAAATTTCCTTTTCAAATGCTCTCAGAAACCTAATTAATGGTTAATTTTTACCATCTGGTTTACCATCAATTATAATGTAAGTGTATGAAAAATTGAATATTAGATAATCAAAACTTTCTGTTCTTTTGTTTCTCCTTTGCAGGAAGCTCTTACCCCTCAAAAATGTATCCATCATATCATTGTTCGGGGGCTTGTGCGTATTCGTTGTGTACAGGAAATGGAGAGGATACTTTATTTTATGACAAGGAAAGGACTAATTAATACAGGGATTTTATCAGTCAGTCCTGACCAGTATCTTCTTCCTAAGGAATATCACAATGTAAGTTGCTGCAATAACCCCTATGTTATTAGTGCTCTAAAACTACATGGCACGTGTCATATATTTTTGGTTCTGGATTTCTTGCTCATTACCTGTGATCCCAATTGTTTATGTAAATATTACATCTAAAAGCAAACTCATTGCATGTTTTTCACTGTTCTCATCTGCCTTCAATGGTTATGGAAACCACAGACACGAGACTTTTCCCAGCAAGGTTTTTATTCCCACTAAAATCCATGGAATTGAGTCCTGTGGATTTGTGCTTCTTACGAGCTTTTCAGATGGATGGGAACTGTCTGAAAAATACACAGTACACTTAGATTCTTCTCATGGCTTAACCTTGGCATCCACCTCTGCTTCTGCAAGTGAGGACACTCCTATTGTATATTGGTTTGCAAGAACTATGATTAAAGGGCACATATTTATGACAAGCAATTTGCTTGACAGCACACAGAAATATATCAAATTAATGTATTCTGTACTGGGATATCTCCTAGAAATTTTAAGTTGATTTATGTTTGCAGTTTTTATGCATGTGTTTATGCATTTTTATGAATGTTTTTAGTTAATAAAATAGTTTTTACCAGTCAACCCAATTTGTGATTGAAATAGTTACCAGGTAAGTGTATTTCTTGTCTGACAACCCCAGTTAGATTTTGTTACTCAGTTAGATTTTGACAACTTCAGCTGTTTCCATGAAAAGAAATTGAGACATCTGCTTTTAAAGTGCTTAAAAATTGTAACTATTTTCAAAGCTACAATTGATCTTTTCTCTACCATCATCTTTAAAAGTTACCACTGGTTACTTTAGAGGACAGGAGAGCCTAGACTTCTGAAACCTACATGTATTTTTTTACTTTAGCAAGAAGAAAAATAAGTTAACCCTACCCTAGCAAAAACCAAGACACAATGCTAATTTATATTTTAGTTCTAACTATTTTTATTTATTTACATTTTTTTAAATTATTTTTTAGAAATCTGTGTTTATTGTTGGGGCTGGTGCAGCAGGATTAGCAGCAGCCCGACAACTGCACAACTTTGGAATTAAGGTAAGAAACTTGAGATTACATTACTTAAAATAAATCAGACTTCCTCTGCTTTGAAAGTGTTCTGCATCAAAATGAAAAAAAATTACATTCTTGTAACAAACATTTATGTATAGGGCAACCTGATAAATCTGTAAAATCTAGTGGTTTGTTGAATAAATCTGCTGTTTAAAAACAGTGTTGATTTGTATCTAAAATTCAACAAAGCAGGCAGTGAATATTTTACAGAAACTTAAGTTGGGAGGACAGGGGAGATGTGGATATTCATGTCCAAATAATGGGACTGCAGGTGACGGTGGTTGTTTCAACGAGGTGGAATTCTTTCCTTTGTGCACTTTAGTGTACTCGTTTGTTGCTTATTAAAAACAAGTGAACCACATGTATTTCCTC